GCGCCCGCGTTCCCGTTGAAGACGCAGCGCAGCTCGGGCCCGCTGTCGGTGTTCACGTAGCCCTCGTTGATGATGGGCCCGAAGACGGCGATGGAGAACACCTGCGGGCGGCGGGCGGCGCTCAGAGCCCTGCGGTGGCCCCCTTAGCCGCGGTCTCTGTCACCCACCGCGACTGCTCACGCCCTCGGGCCTGTCCCTACGTTCCCCGGCAGCACAGGGCCCATCTGTGGGTGGGGTCTTCGGGCACCCCGCCTTAATACCTGCCTCAGGTATTTTAAATTTATGGACAGCGTTACTATTTAGTGAGCATCTACTATGCCCAAGCACTATGCTTAAAACCGCTACATTACATGCATTCCTCCTAGAATCCTCCCCTCAAACCACAAGGGGGCCGTTGTCATCCCCTTTATAGATGGGGAAATTGGGGCTTCAATTAGTGAAGTCACTTGGCTGATAAAAGACGGCGCTGACATTCAAATTGGGTCACTGGCACTGTGTGGGGCCCACAGGGTGTCTGCATGGCCCCCTCGAAACTGTAGGAACAGGAGCCTTCACCTGGACCAGTGATTCCTAGGCTCCAGTGGGTGGCGCTGTGGGAGGCAGGTGTGGAGAAGGGGGGGTTGAGAGCACAGCGGGGAGCAGCGCAAGGACAGGGGCTCAGCTGTCACCCAGTCCTTCATGGAACCTACCCTCAGCATCTGGGAGCTGTGTGGCCCTGCTTCCTAACATGCCAAATATAGTAACAGGTAGAGCTCATGCAGTGTTGGGGCCAGAGAAAATAATGCCCACCCAGCATCCTGCACTTGGTGGGCACCCAATGGATGATAGCCCCGTGTGACTGATTATTAGCATCGTGTTTGGGCTCAAAGGCGATAGTATTGGGGCACCTAGGTGGATCAGCTGGATGAGCGTCTGACTCGATTTCGGTTCAGGTAGTGATCTCATGGGTCACTGGATTGAGCCCCGAGTAGGGCTAGGGCTCCGGGCTTAGCAGGGAGTATGCCCGAAATTTTCACTCTCCCTCTGTCCTCCCCCAACTCGTGCACTCTCTAATAAACAAACAAACAAACAAGTCCTTTTTTAAAAAGGCGATACTGTTGAACTCTGGGGCTCAGCCAACTTCAGCATCCCCTTACCACAAGGGCTGAAAGGCAGGTAGGTGGTAGACCATAGTCATTTTACGTTTTCTTTTTTTTTAAGTAGGCTCCACGCCCAACGTGGGGCTTGAACTCATGACCCTGAGTTGCATGCTCTGAAGACTGAGCCAACCAGGCGCCCCTGGACCACAGTCATTTTAAACCAGATGCTGCTCTTTTAGCTCTGGGCAGCCTGTGTTTCCAAAAAAAGACCTCCAGTTTTAACTTCATTTCTCCTCCCCCTCTCCAGCTCCTTGAGATGGAGTCAAGAGGGAAACCCAGGTGCAGGGCATGGACATGTCCCCCCAGAGTGGTCCACAAGTCGGACCAGAGCTCGCACCAAAACACACGGTTCCTCCTTCCTAATCTGCGCAAAGTCACCCCACCCTGGGCACCGCTCTCCTTGAAGACAAGCCAGTAGGTGCAGCTGGCTGGCACCAGGTGCCACCAGCTAAATAAAACCCAGAGATCGTCACCCCACCTTCTCATCTCTCCTGCCTGGAGAGGTGGGAAGGAGAAGCAGGCCACCTGGCCTAGGGATGCCCCAGTAGTCTAGGCTGTCCCCAAATCTGCCCCTCCCACACCACCCCCAGGAAGACCTCCCCGTGCAGAACCCCTTCTTGCTGCCCCACCCAGAGGAATCCCAGCGCACCCCCCACATACACACACAATTGCAACTGGAGGGCCTGGGAAAGGGCTAGCTCCCTTGGAAGGAACCTGGAGGCTGTGTGCGGGCGAAGCAGGTGTAAGCGCTGCCTGATAGTACTCGGCTTCCATAGCCCCCTCCTCGTGCTGAGGCTGAGTGCTCAGACCCAATCCCGTCCCCGCCCCTGTGTCCGCTTCCAGGTCGTGAGAACAGGAAAAACGGGGCGAGGGCTTTGGAAGGGGACGGAGTTAGACCTAAGGAGGAATTGGAGGATGGGGGCGGCGGGCGGTGACCTCTCAAGGTCCCGGGCGTTTGCCGTCGGCCCCTCCCCCTCCCGTAGGTGGGCGCGCCCAGCCCGGTGACGTCACCCCAACCTGAGGCTGGCGGGGGAGGGGCCGGCGGGGACGAGGATGGGGTTGAGGGGCGAGGGGCGAGGGGCAGCGGGGAGGGACGAGGGATGCAAGGCGAGGCGGGACCCGGGACCGGGGCGGGGGCCGGGACCGGGGCCACTCACCCAGGACGCGACCCGCAGTAGGGTCTGCGGCCGCCGCGCGAAGCTCACGGGGTCCAGGGCGGCCCCCGCGCGGCCCGCGCCAAACGATGCTCCCTCCATGGCCAGCCCAGGAGGGACGCGCGCCCCCGGCGCCCTCTGTCTGTCTGTCCGTCCGGCCGGCCCCGCCCGAGGCCGCCCGGGTGTGCTGCCGAAGGTGCTGGTGCTGGTGCTGGTGCTGCCGCTGCGGCCGCCGCCTCCCGGGAGCGCGCGCCGGCCGCGGCGGGGGCGCGCGGGGCGGGGCCGAGCCCGTGCCCCCCGCCAACTGGTCCGCTTGCGGGGCTGGAGCCCGCCCCTCCCTCCGGCGCCCCGCCCACACACCCCCCTTCACCTGCTAGACCCCGGTCTGAGATGCGAGACCACCCCCCAGGCTCCAAGAGGGGCAGGGTCTGGGGGGCCGGGGACTGAGTCCACCACCGCCCCTCACAGGTGAAGTCAGGAGTCAGCAGGGAAGGTGGACGCTAGGCTCAGCCTTTGTGGCAGCCAGGCGAAGAGACAGACAAACCTGATTCTGCCCCTCTGAGCTGGGCCCTTTCGTGAGCAAAGGGGTAACAGAGGTCCAAGGGCTCCAGGTCTTCCCAATGGCTGCAGCTCCCCGTTCCAGCCCTCAGGAAAGGGGAGCCCAACTCCCTGAACCTGGTTCCCCCTTGGACCAGAGATCAGTTACTGGGTCCTTTCCTATGAACCCCCCAATTGCATCCTAGCTTCTCCTTCAGAGGGTTCTAGCCTCCCTGACAGGGAGGGAGAAGGCCTCTGCCCCCCAGGGGCACTTGTCCAGGAGGGCAGAGCCCACAGACCGGCATGGGTGGGAGTTGGGACATCTCTCCTCCTTTCTTGTGGGTGGATGTTGTCATTCCAAGGGTCCTCAGTGAGCCCTTCACACTCCTGGGTCTCCCCAACTGACTTGTGGCTGGCATGTTTAGTCGGGGGCCGAGGGGTGGGAAGAAGCGTGAGAGATGGGGAATTTGGATAAGCTGGGGGCCCCTGCTGGGTCTCTTCCATAGATCCCCCAGCCTAAGTTCGACAGGGTCCCTCCCTCGTGTTCCCGGCCAGCCTGGCAGGGTCCCGGACGACTGCTATGTTTCTGCCTAGGCATTGAAAGAAACATTTGCATCTGTTGAGCATTTACAGTGCCAAGCCGCCTCACAAGGCCCCGTGGGGGGTAGGGACTGTCTTCATACCACACACAGACAGCTGGTTGACTTCTTCCACCACATCAGGAAGTCAAGAGCTGGGACTCAAAGGGTCCCTGCTGTGCTGTCCGTGTGGATGGAAGAGGACGTCTGGTCCACCCCCTGTGGAACCCACCCCAAGGCAGGCGTAGCCAGATGTGCCACCCACGAGTCTTCCTGCAAGCCCCCGACACTGGGTATCCAGTCTGTCCTGAGCAGTAGCCACTTCCTCTTTGGTTGCCCCCTTTAGTGTCAGGGTGATCCAGACATCCCCACCCTTCTGGAAATGCTTGCGGATGTCACCCTCTCCTCACGTCCCTGTTTCACCAGCCCCTCTCATCGCCCTTTCGGGGTTCTCTCTTCTTGTCCACCCTGTGAGCTCCTGTAACTTCTGAACTTTGGGAGCCCTAGGGTATGATCCTGGGGCTTTTCTCCTCCCTCTCTGCCCAGTCCCTTGGTCTGTGAGCTGACAGCTTGAGCCAGAACCTCCCCTCAAACTACAGTCCCACTTGTCTTAGCCTGGATTGGGGGGTGAAATCTCCAGGAAGCCAGAGTTAGGGGAAGAGGGAAGGGAGGTAGGACAGGAGAGCACATCCAGGCACTCTGTTCCTGAGCCAGGCACGGCTTCCCTGGAGAAGTTGGCTGGTTCTCCAACTGGTGGCTGACTTGGGAGAGGCCAGAAGAAAACCACGTGTTGGGAACAATTCCTCGACGGGAGGAACGAGGAGCAATTTCTCTATTGGCTGCTCCCTGCCTCCCATTTCTTTGCATCGCTGTCTTCTCTGGGGGAAGGCCCTGCCGAAGCCAGAGCCCCTGTGGCACCTGCTGGGTGAAGGTGCTGAGGAAGCTGAGCCGAAGGGAGAGGCTAAGCTTAATGCTACCGGGAGAGAGACGACCAGTGCATGACGACCGCAGGGAGGGCATACTGTTGCTGGTCCGTTCCAGCTGGGAGCCGAGCCTGGGAGCAGGTGCGGCTGAGCAGACCTGGCAAGGCCCAAAAGCTACATGCAGGTCACCCTTACGCCTGCCCCACCTACAGCGTTCTCCAGAGCACAGATCCCGAGAGCATCTTCATCCTCCCAGTGCTAGGGCCCAAATCCCCCAAGTCAACTCTGGCTCCTTTCTCTCCGCCTGTCGATCTGCTCTGACCCGCCCAGGTGCCACAGGGGTGCCTGCCGTCCCTGCTCCCACCCATACCTGCCTCATCCTAGCTCAACAGCCAGAGAAACCTTTCGGAAGTCATCGTGCCATTCCTCGGCTCCAAATCCTCCAAGACCGTCCTGTCGCGGGAGGAGAGTATCAAAACAATGTCCTTGCTGGGGACATGAAGACTTGGTGCCATCCGACCTCCCACTGATCTCTGACCCTCCCTCAGCTCCAGCACTCGGCTTCCCAGGCTGCCCCTCCTACGGAGCAGAACCTGGATGGAAGGAAGCAAGGGCAGGCCCTGCCCGTCACCGCCAAGTCCCAGCACAAAACACACCAAAGCCAGCCCCTCAGTCACTTCTGTACCATTTTATTTTGGTCTCCAGCTCTGAGAGGGCTGGCCTCACAAAGCCTCTTGACAGGCCTGGTACAGGTACGTGCAGTCAGAGGCAGGCAGCAGCACCGGTGGGCCCTCCGGGAAAGACTGCCTGTGCTTTCCTCGTAGGCTCTGAGCCGGGACAGTGGCCTAGCCCTCCCTCAAGGAGCAGGACAGGCGGCCCAGGCGGGCCTGTCACCTTCTTGTGCAGGGAAGTGGGCACCAGGGTGCCGGGTGAGCAGCCGGCCGCCCAGCCTGGGCTGCTCCTGTCTCCTTCACCGGCAGCCCACGGGGAGGAGCACGGGCCACTGGGGTGTCTGCAGCGGGCACCCCTGCTTTTCCTCCAAACCTAAGAGGGAGAGGGCCCCCGAGCAGTGTCTGGGGACCATCCAACTGACACAAGAGAGGCTCTGGCTCTGACACACTTTAATGAGTGCCCCGTCCCCCTCTGGCCAGGCTGCCCGGAGACCCCGGGCTTCCGTCCCACAGCTCTGCCGGCCACCATCTAGTCACAGGAGCCATCCTTCCAGCCATCGCGCCAGCGCTCGTCCACTTGCGAGCAGTCGAAGTCCGGCTTGCCCAGCTTGCGGTTCACTTCATTGTGCAGGCGGCACAGCCACTGGCTGAAGCATGCCCGAGTGCGTGTGTCTGGCTGGTTCCTGTGTATCCTGTGGGGGAAGCAGGTGGAAGGTGCGGACAGGCCGCGGTTCCCACCGCCCCTGCCCCACTGGCTCCTTGCCAGCTCCATCCAGGCAGGAGAGCTGGGGCGGCTGTCGGCTACAGCCAGGAGGGCCCTTGTGCTCTGAGAGACAGGCATTCCCAGAACAGGGCTGCTCCTGCACTGTCCAACAGTGGCACACTCCTAGGCCTGCTCAACCCCTCACCTGGGGAGCTCGGCAAACCCGGACGAGAACTCAAAGCAAAACATTAAGGCACCAATCATGCAACTTTACAACCTCATAACAATCAGGAAGCCTCACCCCAGCATCCCTGGCCCCAGGGAGTGTGTGAAGGGGTGGGGCAGCACAAAGACATAACTGAAAACCAGACCTGTTTCTAGCACCTGGGGCCCTGGGGCCTCGGACTAGCAAGAGAGCTGTTCTAACTGCCCAGGATTCAAATGGCAAGGGCTGCCCTGGCCCCCACATTCAGCGCAGAAACACCTATAGGTGCCAAACAACAACTCTTCGGCTCCCCAGGGAGGAAAAGGTGGCTCCCGGAAGCAAAAGCAGTGGGTTCTCAAGGCCTTAAAATCAGCAGTCCTGCTCCAGAAGTCAGGCAAAGTGGACTCATTAACCTGCCCGAGCCTCCAGGAATACCAAGCAAGGGACTCTGTAAGTGAAGCCAGGCCTAGAGCCTCTGGTTGCAGGAGCAGCAGCCCCAGGCATCTTGGCCCTTGAGGGGAAAGGAGACCGCTTAGTTGATCCAATGCCCACTGTTGGTGGTCTCTGCTCTGGGCGACCCTCTGCCACCTCTGCACCTGCTTCTCCAGGCTCCCCTTTATGACATCAGCCAGGGGGGCCCCAGGCCCGGGCTCCAGGAGGGATTGCTCTGCTGCCTACAGACAATGCAGACACACTTACCTCTTCCTTATATCTTCGGCACACTCCTCACACGGATAAAACTTGGAAAATAAATGTATGAACTGGGCCATGTCTTGCTGCTGTTCAGGGGTAGGCAGATCGGGGTAGTAGGCGGCCAGGGTGTGGAGGACAGCCCAGCTGTGGCGGCCCAGTTCTTCGCGGTCCTGAGGACAATCTTCCCTAAACTTGCTGTCCCGCTGCGGAAGGAGGCCGACCAAGGGTCAGTTTCGCCTCCCCGGACCGGAAGCCCACAGAGCTCCCTTTTCCCCCCCGCCACAGTCAGAGGCCCACTGACTCGAGACGGAAGCCCTGCGGCCGCCGATCCGACACACAAATGGCTGAAACCCTAAAGGCCGGGCCTCCCTTGGGGAAAAGGTGTAGGAACAGCCCACCCTGGTTGGGGAGGGGGCACAAGTCTGTGAGGCATAGGGCCCGTGGGACCGCTCGGCTTGGGCCTCCGGAGGTCGGCGCAGATGCCTGAGAACAAGGCGTGGGGGCCGGGACCAGGGAAAGTGGCGGCCCTGGGCATCTGCACCTTCTGCTGCGTCCGCATCCACGTCTTGAAGTCCACGCAGGCCCGGCAGGGCCGCCTCCGGGAGGGGTCCTCGGCGACCTGAGGATCGGGGTTCGGTGCCGGGGCTGGCGTCGGGGCGGAGGCGGCGGCATTTCTTCGTCCCACGCCCCGGCCGCGCGCGTCCGTCACTAGGTCATCCATCACCTCTGAGCGCGCGCCACCGGGCAGGAAGGAGAAGAGGTTCCCGCTGCAGAAGCGGCCCCGCTCGCCGGGCGCCGCCATGTTGCCCGCGCAATGCCTGCCGGGCCAACTCGGCCTCCAGCTGGGCCTCCAAGTCGGTCTCCAGGCCAGCGCGCGCGCCAGCGCTAGGGCGCGGCCACAGGAGCCGGTCGCGCGTGCCGCGGGCGCGGGCGCGGGCGCGGGCACGAGCGCGGAGGCCGTGCTAGAGCTGGGGCCGGGGCCCGGGGCGGGGAGGGGCGGAGGGGTGGGGCTCTGGCCCGCGGCGCATGCCCAAGAGGCCACAGAGCCGGTGGCCGGGGTCTGGGCCGGGGCGGGCGCGGGGTTGGAAGCCCGGGTCCTGGCCGCGCCCCTGGGCCTCGATCCGCTTCCCGAGCCTGACTCGCGTCGCCCGTGGCGGCGCTCCCGCTTCCTCCAGTAGAAGAGCAGCGTGTTGTGGAAACCACGCCGCCGCCGCGCCGTGAACTCAGGTTGCGGCCGAGGCGAAGTCCGTGTTCCGGCCCGTGACGCCCCCATCGCTCCGCTCTGACCGCCCCGCGTGCCCGCGGCCAGGCTCTGTGCCCTCAGCTGGGGCGCGCCCAGCGGCCGGCCGCGCGGCGTCCTGGCAACGCGGGGTGGCGCGGTGAGCGCACAGAGTGGGGCGCGCGCTAGGGCCTGGGTCCCGCGGGTCAGCCCGGGTGACCGGCGCCATGGCAACGGGCGCTGGCGGGTCTCTGGGCTCCTGAGGGCAAGGAGTAGCCTGGATCCCTATAGCCTGCCTGAAGGGGTTATAGCCACGTCGGGAGTGGCCGCAGCTTCTATACGTACATTCATTCATCCTGAAAATACTTGTGTAGTGTCTAATCTGTTCCAAGTACTGGTCCAGGCGCTGGGCAGGGCGGGGCACAAGATCCGTCCCTGACCTCCTCTCTGGGCTCATTGTCCATTGGTCAAGACGGAAAAAGCAAAAACAAAAAAAAAAGGAGTCACACTAACAAATACTCCCTGACGGGGCACCTGGGTGGCTCAGTCGTTAAGCGTCTGCCTTTGGCTCAGGTCATGATCCCGGGGTCCTGGGATCGAGCCCCCGCATCGAGCCCCCGCATCGGGCTCCCTGCTCAGCGGGAAGCCTGCTTCTCCCTCTCCCACTCCCCCTGCTTGTGTTCCCTTTCTCGCTGTCTGTCAAATAAATAAAAATCTTTAAAAACAAAACAAATATTCCCTGAGAAACAGGTGGGAACCATGAACAGGGGTGTGGTAAATCCGGGAGGCTTCCTTGAGGAGGTGACACTTAGGCAGAGGCCTGAAGGATGAGGAATCAGCTGAGGAGGGCAGTCAAGGCCAAGGCTGGAGGTGGGCATGGGCAGAAAGGCCAGTGGAACAGGACTTGGGGAAGGTGGTGAGAGGAGAGATCCAAAGGTGGACAGGAGCACACGGAGGACCCCGTCAGCTGCCGTGGGAGCTGGGAATTTAAGGACCATAGGAAGGTGCTGGACAATTTGGGGTAGGGCCACCCCAACCTGATCCCCTTTGTGTTTTGCAAGGTTCCTCTGGAGGGTGGATTTCATAGGAGCTAGTGAGGAGCATGGGCACGGGGTGGGGCAGTTGTCCAAGGGATAGATGAGCCTGTGGTCTATAGAGAGAGAGAACAAAAAGGAACCAGGGTTGCTGGGGATGTGAAGCAGGGGCTGTCAGGTGGGGCAGGTAAGGGGCCTCAGCACCCTTCTAGGAGGTCCCTGGCTGTGAATAAACAGGCCTTCTCCCAGCTTTTCTCCTGGTCTCCCATGGGAGAAGTGTCTGCCCCACCCTGGACCCTGCCAGGCTAGCTGGGACCTCAGCATGGCCCCCACTGAGGTCGGAGAGGGCGTGACAGCTGGGCTGAATGCACGCTGCAATTCAGGCCTATGTCAGCAGGTGTTCGTTGCCTGGGCCAAGATCAGAGAAGGTTTGAGAGCCACTGATTAGACAGATGCACAAAGGCCCTTTGTCAAGGCTAGGGTGATTTCCGAGAGGGATGTCCTAGAGGCTAACCCCTCCCTGGACAGCTTGGGGTAGGAGTCCCAACCTAGAGCTGGTGGCCCCAACAGCAGGAAGAGCCAAAATATACCAGGGTTGGATGGAGCTCTGGAAGTCTTTCCTATAAGGAAGCAGCCCAGAGATGTGGGGCACCTGAGCACACACTGGGGATTCTAGGGTCCAACCCCTGTTCACCCGTTAGTGGGAGAATTGTGACTTCTGATCTCAGAGGCTGTGTTAGCAGTAAATTGTGATAAATCATAAATTTAGAGGCAGCTCTCAAAACAGTCCTAGTCACCAACCCCCCCTCCCCAAGTGCCAGTGACTGCAGAGAGGGACCCTCTTTGTCCTGCCCCAAGTCTCCCCACCACAGGGGAACCTCTGGGGTGAGCCTGTGAGGTCCACCCCCACATCCAGAAAAACTGACATTAATTATCTATTTAATACAAATTTCCTTCTCTGTGATTTGGAAACATTAAGAGACCTTTCCTCCAATGTGAGCCAAACAAAGTACATAAAGCTTTTAGCCCTAGGTCCTTGGTTCCTGATGACAACAGCAGTCAGCTTCCCAGGTGAGTTCAAGACAGAGCCGTGGGGGCACGCCCTGGAGGAGGCTCCGCTAGTCCCAGCACCACACCGGGTGTGGGAGAGCCAGGAGAGCCGGGCCAAGCCTGGCGGCACTTTGAGGATTCTTCCTTTTCCTCCTCCTCCCACGGGCCAGACTCAGTCCCCAACCTCCACTGCCTCTCTGCCCCTCCCCACCCCCAAGCCCTGTGTTCCTGTCCCTCTACCCAGATCTACTTTGGGCACAGTGAAGAACCTGGGAAAGAACCAGGGGCAAGGCAGCGATACAAGAACCTGGCAGGTCCGGGGCGTAGCCGGGGAATTCCAATCAGTCTTCCGGGTGCCCGGGAGCCCCCCTCCTTCTCTCCCCCGCCCCCCCACCGTGTGAGCCAGGACACAGTGGGACCCTTGGCCACAGTTTACCCACTCCAGAAGCCCAGGACCGGGACCCGTGAGCACAGCGATGGCCGACCCCCGGCACCCGGTGTCAGTGTGCGCAGCAGCCCTAGTGCAGACAGCGCGGCTTCAGGTATGACGGGCGGAGTCCCTGCCAGCCCCAAGGAAGAAGGAAGGAATTCCTGGCCCAGCACCTCCAAGGCGCCTCAACCTTTCTCCCAACAGACATTTGCCTTCTCTGTGCACTGGTCGGATGACAGCAACACTTTCGTGCGCAGGAGCTGGGATGAATTCAAGACGCTCCAGGTGAGTGAGCCTGGGGTGAACCCGAGTGCCCCCGCTGCCGGAAGGACCAATGGCCTGGGCGTTTGCCCTTGAGCCCGCGAGGGCGTCCAAGCCCCTACGACCCCCATCCCGGCAAGGAACCCTCACCCTCCCAAGGGAACCGGTGGACTCTGAGACTGATTCGCTGGTTCTCCCTTAGAAGACCCTCAAGGAAACCTTCCCGGTAGAGGCGGGCCTGCTGCGGAGATCGGACCGCGTCCTCCCCAAGCTTCCCGGTGAGGCCGGTAGGGAGGCCCGCAGGGATCCCTGGAGGGGCAGGGGCACCAGCGGCCTGGTGGAGGGAACCCTGGGGCGGGGTCCCACAGCCAGTTCCCGTCGTGCCCGCAGACGCATCGCTGTTGGTACGCGGGGGGCGCACAGGCCGCGGCCTAGCGCGCCTGCGGCTGCTGGAGACCTATTCGCGGGCGCTGCTGGCTGCGGCGGCGCGCGTGTCTCGGAGCTCAGCGCTCACCGGCTTCTTTGCACCACAACCCCTGGACCTGGAGCCCGCGCTGCCACCCGGCAGGTGCCTGCCTCATCCCCAACTCCCTGCCCGCAAGAGCCCTTGGAGGCTGGGGGAGGAGCGAAGGCTGGGCAGACTGGGGAGGGGTGGCAGGCCCTCACCACACCTCCCACCCGCCCCTCGCCTGCGCGCTACCCTTCCCAGTCTGGTGATCCTGCCCGCTCCTGAAGAGCCTCTACCCCGCCCGGCGGACAGCCTTGCCATCCGTGGCCTGGAGGCTCAGAGCCTGCGCTGCCTGCAGCCCTTCAGCACCCGGGACACGCAGGGCCGACCTTTCCATGCACAGGCCCAGGAGATCCTAGATGTGCTGCTGCGACATCCCTCAGGTGGGGTTGGGCAGGACTGAGAGAGCTCGCCCATCTGCCCCCAGGACCTGAGAGGGCTTGGGGGTCTGAACCTCCGCCCACCTCTTGTGCACAGGCTGGTGGCTGGTGGCAAACGAAGACCAGCAGACAGCGTGGTTTCCTGCTCCCTACCTGGAGGAAGCGGCCCCAGGCCAAGAACGACGACCCCTAGGGAGTAGTGGTAATTACCCATCCCACCCCTCCCAAGCCAGCCACCGCCACTGGGCAGTGTGTGGCAAAGCTGGGCCACAGTAAACAGCTGAGCGATTGCTGGACATGGGGACAGAGTGTACTTGGTCCCATCATCTGGGGGATGCCTGAAGGTGGTGACTCCATGGGGGGAGGAGAAAGAGGTGGGAGTCCTGGTCCCTGAGGCCTCACAGTGACCCCCAAATGCCCACTCCCAGGGTCTCAATTCTGCGCTTCCCAAGCCTATGAGAGCAGCCATGCAGATGAACTGTCAGTGCCTGCGGGGGCGCGCGTGCGCGTGCTGGAAACTTCAGATCGTGGCTGGTGGCTCTGCAGGTGCGCAGGGGTGGAACTTGGGCGGGGCCCAGGATGGGGGGCAGGATCCAGCAACAGCCAAACCCCACCCTCCTTCCCGCCCCCCTCGCAGGTTCAGAGGGCGCTGCGGTCTCCTCCCCGCTGTGCTGCTGCGACCCGACGGGCTGGGCGCGCTCCTGAGTGGCGCAGGGCTCCACCGCGAGGAGGACTGTGAGGAGGACAGAGTGGGAGAGGCCCAAGGCTCCCCCGAGAACCCCCAGGCCACAACCCTTCCCCCTACCGTGCCCACCCGCCCTCTGTTGAGCGCCATCCAGAGCCGCTGCTGCACCATCACCCGCAGGGCACTGGCACCCAAGGACCCCCTCGAGGGTGTGTGGAGCTGCACAGAGGGCAGGCCCAAGGCTCCAGACCCCAGGGACGACTGACACCAGACAAGTCGCCACCGTCACCACCACTGCTGCGGGAGGAGTATTTGAGGGAGGGA